TGTCTCCTTCTCCTCCCCTTGGCCCAACTTGGCAAGTCAGAGAGCTGGAAGAGCTCATCTCTGGGTTCAGCATAAGAGTGGGAGAGAAAGATATTCTACACAATAGATCGCTGTAGTGGAACTGCTAGTTGTCTCTCAAAATCTGTCCTCTCTTTTTTAACAATAATAGCTCTGTATCTAGGCTGGGACATTTCGCAGCATCCCTTGTAGTTAGCATTTATTCGCATGGGACATATGTTCTTACCAGTGGACTATAAGAAGTGATCATACACCTTAAGAAGTTGATCATACACCTTCTGCACAATTTTGTGATAACTTGGAAGGCAAATCAAGTTTCTAGGGAGCCCATAGCTAGAGAAGAAAAGGCCAGAAAGAGCCATCATGTTAGCATATGTTGACTGCTTAGAAGAAATAGATAAACCTAAGTGAGATCTTATCAAATCCCAAGCAGATAAAGAGAAAAGAAAGTATCCAACAATTTAAGACCTCACAAATGGGCCTCCTGGTGGCCTAGGGGTTAAGTCTCAGAGTAAGCACCTAGATGGTCTGAGTTTGACCCCTGGTCAGGAAGCTAACCCACATATGGCACAACAGACATTTCCTGTCTTGCCTGCCGCTCCCCTCTGCAGTATATTTCAGTAAATCTACCTATTCTGCTCCCTACTCTGTCTTGGGTGAATCCTCTCACCCCCACACCTCTGGCTTACATCCCAATTCTTTTACGCAAAAATAAATAAATAAATAAACAAACAAACAAATAAATAAATAAATGGAAATAAAAATCTTAAAAAAACAAAAAAAAATCACAAAACATCTCACAAAGCTGAAAAAGGCAACTGCTTTTTTTTAACCTCCAAACAGCAGGAGATAATGCTATTTTTGTTGCTCAAGGGACTCCCATTAACTGCCTCCCTTCCCTTGCCCAGAGGCAACACTCAAACTAAGGATATTTTCTTCCTACCCAAGTTTATTGTTCATATGTCCTCAAAATAACTGCCACAAAAAATAAGAACACAAAGAAATAATACAGCTTAATAACTACATCCAGAAAAGAACTGCGGGTGTAGTTATAGGCACATGGAACTAACTGGAAGGAAAAAGAGCAGAAGCCTACAAAGTTTTGAGGATATGGTTTTACCAAAGCAACCATAAACCTAGCCAGAAAAAAATTATTATTTTTTTTCCAAACTTAAAATAACTCCCAAGGATGGCACAGCTTCCAAAACACCACTCTGATGTGGTTAGGCAGGATGATGATGGTAAGAACTTCTCAGAGAACAGGGGATTTCAGTAAAGAATAGACAAAAAAATCACTCCAAGATAGCAGGAGCTGGAGTCATCAATGGGTAAACCCAGGAAATCACTCCATTGCCAGAAAGATCCTCTGCCATCCTGGACTCACAAGATTTGTTATTTTCTCCTATCTAGTGACTACCATAAAGAATGCCAAACTTGGGGTCTCCCTGGTGGTGCAGGGGGTTAAGACACAACCTGTGAGGCTGACCACGGCCTCTGCAGCACGAGTTCAATTCCCGGCCAGGGGGCTATCCACATGGCACAGCAAACCTCTCCTGTCTCGCCTGCTGCTCTCCTCAGCAGTGTATTTCTGTCATTCTGCCTGTTCTGTTCCCCACTCTGTCTCTGGTTAAGTCTTCTCACCCCCCACGCCTCTGGCCTGTACCCAGCTCTTATATGCATAAATGGATAAATCTTTAAAAAAAAAAAAGAATGCCAAACTTTCCTTTTCTGAACAGAAATTTTAATTTCATCTGGTCCTGCTTCTTGGCTATTTATGGTGCAGGGAGGGGAGGCATGTATAGGTGGCTGAGATGGTAAGTCAAATCTGGAGCTAATGAAGAGAACTATACTCCAAGTAGATTCTCAACTTTTGAAACTGATAATGGACCCTCTGCTGTTTTCCTTGGACTGAGTGTGCATACTATGTAGGGGTGTAACAGGGTTGTTCCCAGGGAAAGGGGAGGTTTCAGATTCCCTGCCCGACCCTAAGGAATGGCGGAGCTCAGCTGGGAGGAAGAGAAGTCTAAGAGGGAGATTGGGAAAGGAAGGAAGGAGGAGGAGATCAAGAAGACCTGGAGGAGGCACATGGAGCAGAGAGACATGAGAAAGTTGCACTTGCTTCTCGCCTTGGACTTGTACAGGGACTTGGGGGACATGGAAGGAGACACTTGAAACAGATGTGGGTGAGAGCCCCATGGGAGATTAACAAGGGCATCATTCATCTGGATTTTAGGGTCCCCACTAGATGGTGACTTAGACTTGTTGCAAGCTTTTGGGTCTCAGTGGTCCGGCTTTGGGCCAGCCTTGTTTGCTTGGACACTTATCCACAAAGAGATAAGTAACTTTGGGTGTCTGATTTGAAAACTATATTCTTTCTCTTTTTGGTTTCTCAATCACACAATTATTTGTATTTAAATTCTTTTCCACTGAAGGTCTACTGCACTAGGGTATGTTCTGTTTTGTCTTGAGGCGGCACATGGGAGAACCTATTTAGAGCAGGCAAGTTTGGGGGTTCCTGGGATGCCTCTCACCCTTCCCTATAACAGGGGGAGAAGGGAGCATGCAGACAACTGAATGGCCAGGGAGGCAAACTATTGTGGGAGACGCTAGTTAGTTCTCCCATCCTTTCCAAGTGACAGAACTGTAGTCACAACCTGGACTGCCCAGCTGCATTGTTTCTGGCCTTCCTCATAGATACAAGGAGATTAAATTCCCAACAGGGCATGTGAGGAGAAGTGATGGAGGCTGCTTCCAGCTCTGGGTCTTCAGACCTTCGTGTTTTCTTTCCCTTCTATGCCAGTTGGAACTTAAACGTGATGGCAACCCTGCTTCAACGATACAGCTGATGGCAGTGTCCTAGGAGATGGCAGAACAACTTGGAAGGAACCACAGTTCCCTAAATGATGTCAAGGAGAAAAGCTATCTAGTCATCTGGACTTCATTGTCCCATAAGCCACGTAAGTGATAGTTCTTTTTGTTAGATTGGTCTTACCACCATTAGTATTTGGCTGACATCAGAAGCTGGTTAAAGAAAAACCTTGAGAACTTGTGGCATAATAAAAATATATATTAAAACTTTGTCCCTGGGGCCTCCCTGGTGGCGCAAGGGGTTAAGATGCACCTATGAAGCTGTCCACAGCCACTGCAGCATGAGTTTGATCCCCTGCCAGGAAGCTATCCATATGGCAAAGCAGCCCTCTCCTGAGTCGCCCACTGCTCCCCTCAGCAGTGTATTTCACTCAGTCTGCCTGTTCTGCTCCCCACTCTGTCTTTGGTGAATCCTCTCACCCCCTACACCTCTGGCTTGTACCCCAGTTCTTGTATGCATAAATAAATAAATCCTTTAAAAAAAAAAAAAAAAACTTGGTCCCTGTTTTCTGGTATAGAGCATCTACAATCTTAGAAATTTCCTGAGTGATAGAAATGCTTTTGTTCGTAATGAGCTCCTTTCAAATACACACGAGTCTAAGCTAATGGGGTGAGCTCATTAGTTGAGGGAATAAACACTTCAGCTTTGCTGTTGCAGCCTCTGCATTCCTGCAGCACTGCAGTAGCATCAGCAAACTCAGACACCACTGAACTGCCCACATCGGCCAAGAATCTCCAGGCTGCTATAATACCAACCTAAGAAGATGCTAAATTGGTATAGATGTTAGTCCTGACTTTTCCAGACTCAGATGTGTGACTGAGAACAGTAAATGCAAGTGATTGCATATTCTACAGAGAGATACTAGACCATGCTAGAGAAACTTGCCAGTAGGTGCCCTCCCCACTTCTCCAAACCAGCATTGTGACTCTTGGTCCGTCACCTATTTCCAGGCTAAAAAAGAGAAAGTGGAGATTGATCAGGTACCCAGATTGCTGCTAAGAGTAATGTATTTTTCACCACCTGACCCACTGCAACCGTGTGAGGGAAAATTTCAGGATTCTGAGATATCACATGAGGTTTCTGAGCCTGAACCCAGCCCAAGTTGAGGAAAGCAGAGATATGCTCGAATGAATGACAAATTAATGTTTTAAACAAGGCTTTTTATTTAATTTTTTTCAGCTTTATTGAGATATAATAGTGGACTGGATATTCTATACCTGAAAATGAGATTACCTATTAATGTTTTTAAAGAAGCATTAAATACACAGAAAAGCTATGGGGTATTCCTGAATTATAATCCAGGGGAGGAGCAACCTCACAGGATGTCTGAAAGTTATCTGAGAGAAAGAATCAAGTAGCTTTATCTGTTTATGCCCACAAAGTGCATCTCATTCCATACATAGGGCGAAGCAGGTCTGGGTGGGAATGTCGGCCTGCTTGGCAACTGTGCCTCTACCAGTAGCCAAGGATTAAACGGAAGATTGCATAGCCCCCTTCTGCAATAGCAATACCATGCAGCAACCAGAGCGGCAATAGGGGCCTCTCTGGTGGTGCAAGGGGTTAAGTCTCAGCACTATGAAGCTATCCACAGTCACTGCATCATGAGTTTGATCCCTGACAAGGGAGCTAACCCACATGACACAGCAGACCTCTCTGTCTCCCCCACTGCTCCCCTCAGCAGTGTATCTCAGTAGATCTGTCTTCTGTTCCCCACTCTGTCTCTGGTGAATCCTCTCACCCCCTCCACCTCTGGTCTACACTCCAGTTCTTGTATGCATAAATACAAAATAAATCTTTTTAAAGATGAAGATCAAAAATAAAATTTTAGGAAGAACATTTTGAAATGAAGTTTAAAGAGATTTGGATTTTTAATAAAAAATGGTGAATTCTATTATTACTTTTTATCTTTTCTTTTTGGTAGACGCTATCTTCAATTTTTAAGCATTTGCGCCAAGAAAATAACCTCCTGCCAACCCACACTAATGGACTTGCCTGTTTTTGGACCAAAATTCATTCAAGATAACAGCAAGTCTTCCAAGAAATCTTTTTTTAAAAATTCTATTTTTTTTTTCAGCAAATGTATATCATATAAAATATAAGAAGACAATCTTACTTGGTCCTCAAAAGATAGAGCCTGGGCAACATCTCTTGGAAATCCATCAATAACAATGCCCTCTTCATCAGGTATTTGCATCAATTTCTGTTTTATCTCAGTAATTGTTGTTTCCTTTGATAAAGAAAAAGAATGAAAACCACAGTGAAACTTATATACAAATAACTGGTATTAAAATCGGCAGAATAGAAGCAAATTACACAGCTGTACCTGTGGGGCCAGTTCTCCAGTTGTAATTATTTTGGCAATAAGACTCCATTTCCTATTGCTGCTGGTATTGTGGATCTTCTTTCTTAATAATTCTCCCACCGAAATATATTGGAATCCATAGCGCTCTGCAATTTTCAAACTTTGAGTACCCTTTCCACTTCCTGGACCACCTATTATTTAAAACAGGTAAAATTGTGACCTTCTGACACAATAAAAAAACTCCTTTTGAGATGACTACTACCTTCACCTTGAGGTGTGGTCTCGACTGCCTGTACCAGGGGGAGTACCTGTTCCACCCTTGGCTTGCTCAGTGTTACCTCTGAAAGCAGAACAGTGCAGACTTGGCCAAAGAAAAAAATGGGATTTTCATAATTAACTGCAAAGGACATTTATTTCTCAACCTATTGATATTTTGGCAAATAACTAATTTTTTAAAAATTTGGAGCAATGCAATTTAAAAAATTTTCTATGTGAACCATAATTATTTTTTCCTTTGTAATCAAAGAAAAAAAGAGACGGGATTCAGAAAATCATGATCAAAACAACAGAAATATGTTCCATGCCCACAAAGAGTAACTGTGCAATTTGGTGAAATATAATAATTATTCTTAAACCAAAGGCTTACCAATAGTCATGTCACCTATTTAAATTAATTTTTTAAGTCTGTCCATGCACATCCTTGCCTATTTCCTTTAAATTTAAAAGAATTCATGTGCAATAAGTATGCAAAGTTGGTGGAATAGGTCCTTAAGTTAGAACACTTTCATACAACTCATGATAATTTTGAGTCTGTGATACATTAGTATAAAGTAATCAACATTTTGCAACATAACTCATTACTAATCATTGGTAATTGTGATTTATTTTCTAAAAGCATAAGTACTAAAATAATTATAAAATTTGTGCCTCATATTTTATTTCCAAATCATATTTGATTATCTTAGTTTATGCTTCTAAACAACCTGGGCTAATTGGAATCATGAGTGTGAACTAATTTCAAAATAAAGCATATAACAATCAGTCCAATTGGTAGTTATTTGTTAGCAATTATCAAAATGAAATTCAACTTTCTAAGTGTCAATTGAATGCAGATAAATATTTTTAAAAAATCAATGGCTAAGAAGTAGTGAAATGTTTTGGTAATATTCACGGAAATATAATTCTTCAAGCAGCATTGAAAATCCTCCTGACTAATTCAACATATAAAGTTTTGAGCAGTTTAAATCATTTTTTTACATAATTATTTGTAAATATTTTTATTCTTATTGCAAATAACATAAGCAAAAAGAAAGACAGCTTTTTTTTTTTTTTTTTTTTTGTAAAAAGAGTTTTGTAATAAGATCATAAGTCCTGTTGGCCAGGGCTTATTTCCTCTTTAAACTTTTTTATATGTAGAATTTTAAGATCAACTGATGTAATGATAATAATTTCTTAACCTTAATCTCAAACAATGTACCTAATAATATCTGTTTTTCACTTATTTGTTGCTTATCATATTTATATCATATTAAGATAAGAATTTGTTTACAATTTTTACCATTCTCTAAAAAATTAAATCTTATCCTACCAGACTCAACATTGCACTACTAAATTAACATCATTTACTTTGCTAATCAAAAGTAGGTTTGGATTGTAATAGCTGCTTTTGTCCTTTTAGAACATGGGCAAATCATGGATTGACCTTAAGAAAAAAAAAACTTATGTGCTGAACTCCATCAACAAATTCAAATTTGATACGCTTTCTATAGCTGATATGCTTTCTATAGCTTCTCAACCTTTTGGCTAAGATCAAGTGCAAACTGATTTGATCTCTGAAAAATGAAAATTATCTTTCATAAACTGTATTTCCACACTTGCTCTCACAAACCATCAAACTGAGAAAGTATAAATTCCACTGAATTTTAAAAATAATTAAACATATTAAGCAAGTTTTGCATCTTCAAAGGAAAAAAAATTTTTTTGCAAAATAATGAAGACAACAAAAAAATCTGATCAACTGGCTGAGAATAGCATTAATTTATTGGATGAGTTTTGTTACTGAAGTTTTTTAACAAATTAATTTATGTCTCTTTTCTCTGATGCCAAAATGAATTCAATAATTGTTCCATTTATTTATCTCTAATACTTATAAGCATTATCACCCATCTAACATGCAGATTTTATGACTTTTCAGATTTTATGACTTTTCAGATTACTACCCTAAGAAGATTTATATATGTGCCAACAAGACCAACTTTTAAAAAATTCTGTATTGCCAGAAGGGGAAGTTTACTTCTTTGGAGCAATACCATGTGGACCTCTTTTTGAAGTTGGAATTAATAAAATTTGTAAGATTCAGGTAGATTATTTTATAAATTCACAAAAGTCATCAAATTGCACCAATTTTCTCAAATAACCTAAGGTTAGGCTTTTCCTTTCTTCTCTATTTCGATCCTCTAAAAGTTATTTGTACTCTTTGACTGCACCATTCTTATAATACATAAAATGATACAGTACAGCAAGTAAGTCTCTAGCCAGGATCATATCCTTAGGAAGCAAATTGATTTTATTGAGTCCAAAGGACCATGAAATAGGGGAGATTTAAGAATTTACATTTTCTCCAAAGGATCTTAATTTTTTTGAAATAGTTTAATTGTTTTCCTATAAAATTCATAATGCACAAAAATTAATAACAAGAGCAATTTGTTATGCCTTTTTTAGAACAGTCAAGCCATCTTTTTTTTTTTTTTTACCTAGTAAACAACTGCAAATATTTTACCAATAGCAACAAGAGAAAGAAAATAGAAAAAAAATCTCACCATAAAATGGTGATGTAATTTCTAACCTTTCCTTTTAGGTTTATATTTTAATAAATATAAACATTTTCTTGTCTTCTAGGCAAGGATTTAAAATTTTTAAGCATGAAAAAATATTCCATTTTAAGGGCAGGAGGAGATTTATGACATAAAAGTGGCTGCCATATGCCATAAGAATTTTTGACTTTTAGAAAGCCAATTTCTCTACTCTCTTCCTACAATGTTATTCCAAACAATTTTGGGCTAAATATATTCACACTCAGAGATGTACAAATGTCACCCCCTTTAGTCTAGTAAACTTAAATTCTTGTTAAAGCTCAGTGTGATTATTTGCATGCTTTTCCCCTAGTTGTTAAAGCTTCTGGGATCAGAGCTTCTTTACATGGGGCTATATATATATTTTGCCCTCTACCATTAACTCACTGCTGGCTAGGATAGTTTTGAACATTTAATTTAGATTTGCATCATTTCTGTGAATCTGTTTTCACGATTTTTAAAATTTTGAGAAAATAAGAATTTCCAAGAATGGTCAAAAATACATTTTGCAAAAATACTTAAAACATTTTCAGTAGCTCTTCCTTATGAACTAGCAGCAGACTGATATTTTTATATTCACTTAAGATTCACAATGGTAATTTAAATAATAACTTATTATTTTGATGAATACACATATGTGCTATGTTATTAGATTCAATTATATAATAACACTGAAACTCAAGTTTTATTGTAGGTGCCAGTTTGCCATAAGAAAAATTCATTTATATGATCTTTATTAATATATTATTTATCTCTCCTTATAAAGTTAGTGGCAAATAAAAATTCAGTTAATTGACGTAAAAGGCACATTGTGTTTAGGAAACTTCTAATGGACTCAGTCATCTATGTTAAAAATTAAACAGACAAAACACAGGACAATAACTCTTAAAGAGGTGATGACTTTCATTTAATTATAGGTAATTTCTATAACATTGTAATGTCATACAATGGGATTCTATAAAAAGTGCAGCAGGCATTATATATAAAAAACAATTTGTTTTATCAAAATTTATGCTAAAAATATTTCCATTTACTGTCCCTTGAGCTCTTGTTTCTTGTTTATCAGTGTCAACTAAGCATTTACAGATATTACACATAAATAAATTTACACAATTAAAAATGTAAATATATAAAAAGAGTGAGTAACAGTATATGAAAATTTTGCTTTCTGTCCTCATACCTATGACAAGAATGATTTTTGGTCGAGGTCTAGTAGGATCAAAAACCTCATACTCCTCAATTAATTCCGCAGTCTCAGAGAGATCCGTGTCACTTTCTATGGAAAATTGATGGATTGGAGGGAGACGATCATAACGCCGATAAGGAAAGTTTGAATTTTCAGGCATTACTGCAAAAGAGTAAGATAACTTTGAAACGGAAAAAAAAACCTAGGAGAACATTTTTTGCAATAAACTGATTAGTAGAAAGCATTTAAAAACTAATCGTTTAATTTTTTTTCACTGGAAGACCCTTAAGTGGTCAGCAATCTTTTATTCAAAGGCTGGAGAGTCAATATTTTGGGGTCTGAAATTACAGTTTCATACAACTTGGCCTCAGCAGTATGAAGGCAGCCACAGGCAATATATAAACAAGCAGCTGTGCTTGTGGTCCAGTTGAATTTCATTTATAAAAACAGGCACTGAACCAGACTTGGCCCTTGGTTGTAGTTTGCCAACCTCTGATCTGAACCTTAAGTGCTGCCTACTTTTGCAGCATTGTCTGTATACATCTGATCTCTGCAAATGGTGCTCTCTGGAGTTGTGTAGTGAAGCACCTTCATAAACACTGCAGCTGCTCATGGATTCAATGCTTATGTATTATATATTTATTGCATTCAATAAATAAAGATCACTCACTATGATCCAGGCACTCTAGCGTGGTTCACTGGAATGGTAAGATAGCATAATGCACAAAACCTTAGGGTACTGTTGCAAATCAGGTAGAAAGGCAGGAAGTAATTTTTACATCTGGAATATCTTTCCACATCATTTAATTTTACTTTCCCTATATTCTTGACCTTTAATCACCTTCATTTAAAATTATAAACTTTTAAATTTAAAAATATAAACTTACGAAGATTTAAGTTTATATTACAACGGCAACAAATACTTGCTATTTATTGCCAGACATGTCAGTGTACTGAAAATGATTCAGTCAAAGAACAAGATTTAGTCCTGTCTCCACAGAGCTGACAAACTAGAGCTTATATGCTTTTATTATACAATTGTATGCACACCAAGCAGGACAAGTGCTAAATAAATATTTCTCATGACAAACACAAGATTTTGATGAATGAGTAGATTCACTTGGACTAGGGTAGCAGAAGAGGACTTGCAAAAGAGACAGAACCTGAACTTTGAAAGAAAAGGACAGGTGATGAAACATGGGAGATATATCGAAGTACATTTTAGTTGGTAGAAACAAAACAGAAACAGAGCTAGAAACACAAATTACATATTCACATGGACTGGAGGCCAACAAATCTAAATCAAGCAGATGGTCTTAACCAGTTGATAATATAGAGTTCATGGTTCTTTCCTTCCTCTCCCCATTGCATCAGTATTCTAGGAGGCACAGAGAAGCCCCAACTAACTAGAAGCCCTACCTACCTCCTCATACAAAGATGTCAGGAGACTACCTAAACCTTTCTTTTAGCACAGCATAATGCTCACAGTTTCTTTGAAGGTGTTGATCAAGTAGAACTTTCCATTCTCGGGCCTCCCTGGTGGTGCAAGGGGTTAAGATGCAACCTATGAAGCTATTTGCAGCCTCTGCAGCACAAGTTTGATCCCTGGCCAGGGAGCAACCCGCATGGCTCAGCAGACCTCTCCTGACTCGCCCACTGTTCCCCTCAGCATTGTGTTTCACAATCTGCCTGTTCTGTTCCCCACTTTGTCTCTGGTGAGTCCTCTCACCCCCTACCCACCTCTGGCCCATACCCCAGTTCTTGTATGCATAAATAATAAAATTTTAAAAATCTTAAAAAAAAAAGAACTTTCCATTCTCTGTTGATATCATAAATGATGTCATTGACCACTCACCCACTGAACTCATTTTAGTTCCATGAAAGGAATGGAGTAGTCTGAAGATTACAGTGGATAATCTTTAGAAAATGCTGGGAAGGGTTGTCAGGAAAGACACTGACAACAATATTCTGTTCTGCTTTGAAATTGAATTGCTTCACTCAATGCAAAGCAAAATTCTAGGCACTATCCTTGATGACTTTCTTCTCTCATTCTTTATATCTATTCTCATAAACTATAAACATATCCCAAATTGCCTATACTTTTCTCCATCTCCACTACCACATTCCTTCCTAACCTATCATTTATTCTGGTGACTGTTATAGACTTTACTAATCAGTCTGTTTCCAAGCTTGCCCCCACTACCTGTTGTCTGAAATGCTTTTCTTGTGTAGGTCCCATGGCTGACTGCCTATTGTCATTTACACTGCAGCCTAAGTGTCAGCTCCTGTAAGATTACTTTTTAACCTAGACTAGCCAGTCAATCTCATGGACATCACTATAATAATTCTATTATACAACTCCTTTGCCATCAGAGGAATCTCTTATTAATGCACCATTTGTCTTTAACCATTAGAATATGGAGTTTCAAAAAAGCAGGGAACTTAGCTATATAAACTCTGTACCCTGGGATCTAGAACTGTGCTTGATAGTCAGCATCCAATAAATATTTGTTGATATTAACCTCTTTGTTAAGAGATCAGCTTTGCTGAAATGGTAAGGAGGAAAATCTATGGAGAAAAAAAACAGGAGAAAAGGTGCTAAGTAGAATGTGGCCACATTGTAGAAGGTCTTGAATACAGGGTAAATCCAGAGGAGGTATTTGGGGGAGCAGAGACGTGATATAAAGAAATCTGTAATGCATTTTTTATGAAAATTAATTTGGTGTTGTTGAGAAGGCTTTGAGTAGAGAGAGACTAGGAGCAGAAACGGTAGCAGCTAGGAAGCTGAGAAATATGGGCTCTAAGTGAGAAATATGGGCTCTCTAAGTGAGAAATATGGGCTCAACTTAGAGGGATCGCAGGGGAAATGGAAATGAATGGCCACACATGAAGGACATGCTTAGGATTGGGATATGGAATGAAATGAGTTCAGAATTCAAAAACAATTTCTAGGTTTCAAGTCTAAAAGTATTCTAGGAACATTTCACATAATAGGCATTTCATACAATATCTTTCTGCCCTCTTGTTTCTGTTTCAGAAATACTTCTTTCTTTCCTGACTAAATCAGTCTTTTCCTCTACATGAGAAATTTCTGTTCTTTGTTCTCTGGTGGATTCTCAATCTTCTCCATTCTAACAGAGCCTACTCAGTGTTCTGCTCCAAGTACTAGCAAATCATTTCTTCTAGGAAGCATGTTCTGAACTCTAGCCTAGAGTGGACCCATCCCTGTCAACATAGTTGGTTCTTCCATCAAAGATCATCAATAGACAAAGCAATTTGAACCAAAAAGGAAGGGAAATGAAGGCATCACACTTCCAGACTTCAAAATTTATTACATATATTATAAGGCATAGAAATCAAAATGTATGTTATTGGAATGAAAACACACACATATACCAGTGGAATAGAACTGAAAGCCCACACATAAACCCTCAATTATATGGACAGTTAATCTATGAAAAAGGAGTCTAAAGTCTTAAATATAAAAAGGAAATTCTCTTCCACAAACTGTTCAGAAAACTGGACAGCCACAAGCAGAAAAATGAAACTAGACCACACTCTTACAACATACATAAAAATCAACTCAAAATCTAGCATATAAGATCAGAATCCATCAAACACATAGAGGAAAACATGCAAACTACTCTACAACATTGGCTTCAAGTTATCTTTGGGGACTTGACCCTAATGCAAGGAAAATAAAAGCAAAAATAAACAAATGGAACTATTGCAAAATAAAAAGCTTCTACACAGTGAAATAAACTATTACTATCACTAAAACAAAAAGACACTCTACTCAATTGGAGAAAATACTTTCATATCATACATCCAACAGGGAGTTAATATTTAAGATCTACCAAGAACTCATACAACTCAACAAAAGTAAACAAGTAACACAATCAAAAAATGCACAGAGGAACTAAATGGATGCTACCCCAAAGAAGACGTACAGAGATGGTCTATAGGTACAAGAGAAAATATATACCACTTATCATCAGGGACATGCAAATCAAAACCACAATGAGATATCATCTTACTGCAGTAAGAATAGACTGTATCAAAAACAAACAAAAAAACAAGCCCCCCCGCCCCCGCCACTGGTGGCACAAGGGGTTAAGATGCAACCTATGAAGCTCTCTGCAGCCACTACAGCATGAGTTTGATCCCTGGAGAGGGAGCTACCCACATGGTACAGTGGACCTCTCCTGACTCCCCAAGTTTGATCCCCTGGCCAACCAGGGAGCTGCCTACATGGAGCAGCAGATCTTTCCTGTCTTGCCCACTGCTCTCCTCAGCAGTGTATTTCAGTCAATCTGCCTGTTCTGTTTCCCAAATCTGTCTCTGATGAATCCTCTCACCCCCCACACCTCTGGCTCCAGTTCTTATATGCATAAATAAATAAATCTTTAAAAAACAAAAACAAACAAACTAAACCAGAAGCAGTAAATGTTGGTGAGTTTGTGGAGAAAAAGAAACCCTCATACACTGTCGGTGGGAGTACAGACAGGTCCAATCCCTGTGAAAAACTTTATAGCAGTTTCTCAAATTCTATTGCTACAGGACAATCAGTTCAGAAACCATTTTATGTCTTTTAACATATGTTCTAGATATAGAACAATACAATACAGCATTCTTGTTACCGTAGTACACAGAAAGTTTCTATAGCTTTTGTGCTAAAAAGGAGTTCCAAACTGGTCATCTGTGGGCCCAATATGGCCCCGTAGATGTAATCTGTTCAGTCCAGCACTTTTCAAAAATCTGTACTTGACTGACTTTAGATGATGACTGTTCTCTCAGGTTCTGCTCTCTAGTTTGACCACAGTCCCCACCATTCTCTATTATATACTTGGCCTGACTATCTTCTATGTATAAATGAGTCAATTAGCAGGATAAAATGGAAGGATTCAGGTTTCTTTTTTGTCACAAAAAGTCACTTTTTCTACTGAGTCTGAGAGCTGCTTTTCTATTAAGAGGATGTCATATCTTACTAGACATAACTTAAAAATGTAAAAATATTTAACTTAAAAATGTAAAAATGTAATACCTTAGCCTTGTTAGTGTTTTATGGTTTAGAACACAGATTCCCATATTCACCTCATTTGACCTAACAAGGGCATGGGAAATGTACTTAACACTGATGCAGAGCCTAATAGTATTACATCCTGGGATCTAAGTCAGTTATTTTGGATGGTGCATGACTCTACAAATCCATGAAAATATGATTTTCCTTACTGAAGCATTAATTTCTAAATGGTGTGCTGTAGCAGTAATTGGTTAAAGGTTCTTTCTCCTGCACCCAACCCTACATCACCCAGTGTTAGCTCCTGCATGGCCAGGGAAGAATTTCTCTCTTCTCTGGAGATCTTTATAAGGACATGTTGCTATTGTTTGTGTGTCTTAAAAATTAACATTCTATGATTTTTCCTCAGACTGCATCAAATAAAATCTAAGTGGGTCATGACTAAGTAAGATTGAACAAATAAAGATATTACTCCCTTATATTTATTGTAAATAGACTGTCTTCACTTCAGAGTTTGTCTGTATAGCTAAATTCTCAAGGCACAATTTTTCAGAACAGTTTAAAAATTGAAAATATAATGTTTTTGACAACTGGGAAAGAATTTATTTTCTCCTGAATCCATTTTGAACATACTATACTTCTCAATTTCATCCTGAGCCAGAAAGGCTGGTTGGATGATGCTGGATCACTAATTTTGATAAGAACATGTTTCAGAAAACATACCATCACACCATGAATCTCCTCCAGCGAATTCCAGCTCTTAGTTGCAAGCTATCCCCTTGCTCATGCCCTCCACTTCTTTCACAGTGCCCAAATGTCTAATCTCATGTATTATATTCAGTAATTACTTAAAAAAATCTTTGTTGAATTAACTAGTACCAACTTACATGCACTTATCAGATGCATTAAGATGAACTCTGAACTTAGAAACATTAAAAACTTAAATCTCTTTCTAGCTAATAAAAAATGTTGAACTGTTATGTGGTAACTATCAATTTGGTCTGTCATCTACTTACTTATTTGCAAAAGGCTTATTTATAATTTTAAGAAAATTCATAGTCTGCAAATATAATTCATTTTGCAAAATAATGAAGTCAGTAATATAAAATTTCATTAAGCCTTTAATGAAGCACTAGACACTAGATGCTTTGTAAATTTGTTTGTCTTATCAAGAGGTTACTAGAATTAGTAGCAGAGAGTAATCATGTTCTAAGGCCAAATATCCTTCTAAGCATTTGGAAACCCAACCAAGTGAATCATTTCCTGCAGTCTATATGACATGCTTTAAAAGAGAACAATTTGAGCTATAAACTGTGTATTATTCTACAAATACATTACCATTTCTTAGAAAGGACCTCCGTGATTGTCCCCCATTGAGTGGGGGTAGGGTCTTCTTTTCCTGGCTAACAAATGTGTCCCATTTCACCTTGTCACAGCCACCCAGTTCTTTCACTTTCTGTAAACAACTTTCCAAGTACTCTACTGGGTCTTCAGGCTTTGAACACATCAGTCCATTCAAAAGGCTCTGAAACACAACAAAATATGCCCACGTAAAAACATGTTTTCAAACCATCTTTGTTTGTTCAAATAGTCTGTCTGCCCCATTCTAAATTCTGGGTTCCTCTTTTTTTTATTTGTCTTTTAATAAACAACTAGAGGGGGAATTGTGATCTGATGGAGTAAGATTACCCCTTAAATTTCTAATCAATTAGTTTTCAACTCGGCAATCTCTGCTTTTAAACAGTTCAGGCAACTATATAGTTTAAAATGGAAGAATTCTATCAAAATGAGATAATGGGCAGAGTGTAAAAATGCCCCAGTCATTATTTATCTCATTCTTACTCATCCTTAGAGGGTCCAAATTTCAGTTTTTCAATTTATAAAATGGTAATAATAATTCCTACCTCAGAGCATTTTTTAAGGATTAAAAATTTCAATATTGAAACAGTGTTTATTTAGTGCCAGGCACACAGTGTCAACTCGATAAATATTGTTGTTGGTTTTAGGTAATATTATTATCATTATCAGGAAGTCTCCCTTGAGTCTCCTGGGGACACTTTCTAAATAGATCATTTATATTGACACCATCAATTAATTTGCTGGTCTGTTCTAAACTGTGAACTCTTCAACAGCAGTGTGAGTTTTATTTATCTTATAATCTTTAGCCTCTGACAAACTCCCTGGCTATGGAAGGTGAATACTGAAGTGATTTCTAATTAGGGGAAAAAATTCAGTCAAATTGTGAAATTTGAGACTCAAAAAAATGCTACTTAATATATAATAAATCACCACAGTATTCATTGAGATAACAAAGGGGAAAAAATCATGATCTTTCATTACTTTTTCTGTTCCTGGTATCCTATGTGTCACACGTACTAGTTTCTAAAGATGTTACAAATTTGGAAATGCTGACTTCTGGGAACTTGACTGATATGCAAAATATTTTCCTTTGGAGTGTTTTATGGAAAAAGCATTGGGGATTATTATCACCAATATACATTATTAATGTACAAAACACACACCTTTTGAAAGGCTGACATCTTTCTTAAATACAGTATTCAAACCATTCTTATGTAATTTGCTCAAAGTAGAAGAAAATTCTTCCCAGATACATTCATTCTTTGAAATGCTAGTGTCGGTTAGAATGTTCCCTAGGAGAGTTCAATTGCAGAAGACCTGGTAAAAACTAGACTATGCACCCACATTCAGTTTATGTGTACATATCTGCACTAAACTCACAAATACACACTAACATGTAACTCCTCTTATCCCTCATATGTTAACAGTGTTTAACTCTGTAACAGTGTTTACTCTGTGTCTTTGTACCCATTAGCTTACTCAATGCACTCTGGTCCTTAAACCTAATCAATTTTATGTGGCATTATTATCCCCATTTTGTAGGTGAGGAAATCATGGCTCTGAGGTGTGAGTTGACAAAGTTTACTCAGTTATATACTTGCAGGCCCAGGATTTCAGCTCAATGTTTCTGATTCCAAACCCCATATAGTCCTTTCTCTATATCCTGCAAATATATGCTATGGGATAAAAAGAAAATGCTAGATTATTTGTAATAATCAACTGCAATATGAAAATGATTAGTTTTTTTTAACCTATTATTGCCTAAAATGGGTGAATATACACAATGGGTATTTCTTTTACTAGAAAAATATATATCTCCAACCTCTCTAAAAAAAAAAAAAAAACTGACTCCTTATAATAAGATATTGATTTTAGAATGGCTTCTATTCCTTTATGAATAACTTAAATCCTTCCTTCTAGTAGCCAGCTACCATCAGATTGACGATAACCAGCAGACATTATTACCAAGTCTCATTGGTTTAATCCTCTGCGAACTTAAATAATCTAGTTTAACTTTCCACAGCATTCAAGTTAATCACCAAATCTCTGTTCCACTGTACAAGTAATACAAGATTATATATATATATATATATATATGTGTGTGTGTGTGTGTGTGTATGTATATATACATACCATGTAGTTATCTAGATTTAAGAATTCATCACAAAATTAGGAAAAAGTGGTCTTATTTTAAACACATGTCTAAAAATAGAAACACATTTCAACCTTGGACCTACCTAACAGAGATATCCTATTTTGCCTATGTAATGTTTCAAGTCAGAAAAAAATCTGGAAAAGTAAGTTAGATACGTTGATTTGTTTGACAATACAGTATAAAAGTTCAATAATCAGTTACTTGGTTTATAATGGTGTTTAATAGCCATAACTGGGGTCTGATACCTAATTGTTAAACTTTGTACACCTAGATACTTTGTATACCTATGTGACTTTCAAAGAGAAAATCCAGTTTGGAAACTTAACGCATTTACAGTTTTGCTGTCTACACTTATCATGTGGAGAACTGCCAGGTTTTACTTCTATCTTGTGCTGTACATATCACAGATTCTTCTTTCTAGAAGGATGGAGCCTTAGGAGGCCAGCAGCAGTCTCTGTTCATTTTCCTGCTGTCAAGGATTGCATTTAAGTACATGGAATTACTACATTTCACCTAGGGGAGTTGACTTCCTCTTCTGAGTGGCACTATTTTAAAAGTCCTATTCATAGGCAGAAAAAAAAAAGAAAAGCATAAAACCTGAACAAAAAAGCCTACCAAAACAATTTGCATACACAGGATAGATTTTCATGAACAAACTATCAAAATTCTCTGAGGTTACCAACAAGGAAAAACAATGCCCACATTTATAAACAAAAAGGATGTACTGTTCAGTAGCACTTTGCAATCAGGTGACTCCCCCCCCCCCGCAGATATTTCTAATTATTCTTTTAGATGTGTACAAATGAAATTGTTCTCAGTGGCAGTGTTTATGACAAAAATTCTTCAGCTCTTCATCTCCATATTCACTTTTGAAAAATTTTTTAAAAAGAAAAATGCAACAAGAATCTCACACATTCCCAAGACTTGCCCCTATGCTATGCCAACTGATTATTTTCACGCATGAATGAGTAACACACTTTCTAGATTTGGGCTTCACATACCAGGCTCAGTGGGTGGTTTACCTGGAAATCTTGGCTTCTAATGGAACTACAAGCGGTGACTTACAGAAGTGAGGAAAAAAAATGAAGATATGTGATTATGGCGACCTATTTTAAAGATAATTTGGGATACAGGGGCAAAATAATTTTCCCAAGTGGTGTTAAAATTTCTTTTAACAGAACAAACCCCCTAACAGGAGAAAGAACAACTCATGATCCTCAGTTTACTCTTATCAGCCTATCATTTAGTTTACTCAGCCTATCTTTCAGAAATGGGGAGCCAGTTTTTCAGTGAATGTAATTCTCCTTTCAGACCGCTCTCTATGAAGGCTGGCTCGCCTTCATTCTCTCTTTTTTTTTAACCTAAGCAAAAACACATAGGATTCAGGAATGTTTTAAAATTCAAATATGGAGAGAGAGAAAGAAAGCAAAGCGATCTTCGACGTAGGCTGTGGTTTCGAACTAAACAAGGCTCCTTCATTCCTCAAGGCAATGCGCCCACATTCTCAAAGAGTCCCCGCCGCCCGCTCTGCGCCCCCCGCCCCTCCCCGCGCCGGGCCCCTGGTGCAGATGGTGCGGCGGTGCGGTCTCAAGACTCAGCAACAGGAGTCACGCCCGCTTCGCCGCTCGCCACTGCAACCCGAGTTCTCTCGGTGGGTTGGAAATGGGCACATGGGAGCTGCTGTCAGGGAGCTTCCAAAGCGATGGGAAAACGTGCTCAGGAGTTCATTCACCGAAAGCGCAGAGCAGCTCTGGGGCCAGGCACTCGGGAGCAGCGCAGCACTTGATGGGTTTGATTTTGGTTTTTAAATCTTCATCCCTCTGTTCTAACTGCCCCCGAGGAGGGCTGCTTTGGTCCACACATCCCCTTCTCCGAGGAAGAGGGGTGTGCCTAGCCTCCGAGCGCTGGGGGACTAGAGCCCTCTCCTTCTGAGGTTCGAGTCCTTGCTAGCTCCTGGGCGCCACCTGGCCTGGCTCTCACTCCAAGTGAGCGCGGCGCCTGGCTCTCACCCCAAGTGAGCGCGGGGGGCCGCAGCGTGCTGCCCACCCAGTGTCCACATTTGAGGGGTGCCTGTGGGCATTCTGCTTCCAGAACCCCGCTGGAAGACTAAAACTTAATATCGAGATGCGGGTTTCTGAGCCCACCTATAAGGCAAGGACTCTGGCAACCCTGGGGAAAGGAAGCTACCCCGACTCAGTGGGCGAGATATTTCTGCAAGCCCCTTCACTTCCATGCCCCCCGTCTGCATGGCGGGACGGGACACGGCTCCCTCACTAGGAACCCCTGGATGAATCTCCCCGGATCCTCCAGCCCTTCTGCCGGAGCTGCCCCCTACCTCGAAAAGCTGCGGGATTTCCCTCCGGGCCAGGTATTCCTTGGCATCGTTGGTGTTCATGGCTCTGCCGCGCGTGCCCCGGGGCGCAGGCGGGGAGGTTCCCGGGCTGCGGAGAACTGAGGCCAGCTGGCGGGGTCCGCGCCGAGCAAGGGTGCAGCCTCGCGCTCACCCGCAGACACTCACGCTCAGCTCTGCCCGCCGAGGTCACAGCCCCCTCGGCGCCCCCGCCGCCCGCGATTTGGTGCTGTTCCCCGCGCAGGAGCTGCGGGCTCGGAGCAGCGGCTTCCCGGGTTCCCAGGCAGCGCGGCCGCAGGGGAGGGGCGGAGGCAGCGGAGGAGGGAGGACAGCGCCGCCGACGCCAGGCAGCAGCCCGCCTGCCTCTCCAGCTCTGCACCTTCCCGAGTCTGGGCTGCAGCGGAGGCCAGTCACGCTGCGCGGGCGGGCGCGGGGTGCGTGGGTGGGGACGGGCGCGCGCGAGGGGCTCGCAGGCACACCCCTCCGCGCAGCGCCACCGCCCCGCGCGGCGCTTCCCTGCACTGGCCGCCCGGGGACGCCGCGAGCCGGGGCCAGGTGGTCAGAGGAGCAGAGGCGGGGTCTCTGGGAGCCTGTGACCCTTTCCTTTCTCCGGAACTTCTTACACACACACACACACACACACACACACACACACGCACACGCACACACACACACACTCTTCTGCGTCCCCAAGGAACTACTAGTAAGAAACCTGATTGTCATCACAGATTTTATCATTTATTCCTAAGGTGGTTACTGATCTTTCATGAGAGGGAACTGGAGGCAAGAAGAAAAGGGAATTCATGGCGCGACATCCATCCCCTGAAAATTATTTTTTAGGTCCTGAGTATGTCTGTCCTTTAGAAAACTTTTCCTAGCTTGTTTCAATTCTTTTTCCCTGTTAGTGTCACAAGTTCTTACAGATGAAGTTCTTAGAGGGAACCTGAAATCATTAACAGGATTAGTAAATGGTGAACTAATTTTCTCCTTACAGAGGAAGGGGAAGGAGAAGAAGGAGAGAAGTGGATGATGAGAGCTGGAGATCACTTAAATCGGAAACATGCTTAGTAGGTGGGATAGGTGCCAACATTAATGGGATCTGAAGAGTGTGCATTTGGTGAACCGTGGGCTCCCCAGCATCCTGAATGAGTATGGGGCAGGGAGGGGGGGGGCGTGCTGAGGCAAAGATGCAGGCAAAGACCATCACAAAGTGTTCCATCCTCCTCCTGTTAGGGGGAAAGGAGGCTGCCCTGTAACACTCCTAGCTACAATTTCCCCTATTAAGACACCTTTTCACTGCCTGTTTGAAAGATGGTCCAGGTCACCTTCAGAGTATAACCTCTAGCTGTGGGCAAGGCCTGACGCTTTGGGAGAGTATGTGAGTGAAAAGGAGACTGAGGCACTGACATCTGGGGTGACATCATGGAGAGAAGCAACACTGCGACTACTTCATGTCTCTTGCAAGTTCATCTCTGCAGATCTTTTCTTGATTCCATTTCTTGTCCCATAGCAACTGCTACTAAAGCATTAACTCTAGCTGCAGTTTTGCTTTACCATAGGGAGGGAACTCAAGAATTAATTAAGTTTTGTAAAGTAAATGAAGGTTTCTGAACACTTGTGAAACCACGTGTCATATGGTAGCCTTAAATTAGGCAGGTGCTCCAGTTCCATGGAAATTTGTTTTCTGCCCTCGGAATATGCCGCATCACTTACAGTCTCACCTTCTAACATTTCTTGACCTTATTTTAAAGCAGTTTACAGCAATAGCTGTAGCATAGCAGTAGCGATACAACAATGCTTGAACTTTACCATGTTCCATGACCTGACGGCTTACGCTGTGCACAGGCACAGCTGAGAAGCACCTTTCTGTAGGACAGTGATGAAGCCATTTTCTGTAGAACCTCTCAAGGTCACTCTTTCAGACAAGAATCTGGGCTACCACAGCTCACCCTCTCTCCCCTCCTGGAAGAGAATGCATCCTGAATGAACACACAATTCTAAATGTACTTTAGTGTAGCTGGGCCAGGATGCCAACTTGCTTATAGAAAAAGAATGGTTAAAAAAAGACTGCATTGCACTAAGCATTCTAGATAGCCTGAAAAACAGAGTAACTGAAGATATGGCAAGTTTTCAGGTTGCTTTATGCACTGATAATCAGTACTTTTGGGTGTGTTGCAGGGTAAAGCAAGCTGTATCAAAGAGGCAAGATGTTCATAATTACTTTTGCAAAGGGAGTGGTGGCCTGAGGGAAATATAAAACTTAAAAGCCAGACTGATGGTTTGTAAGAGAGGAAAGAGAAGGACAAGAAACAGCAAATACATTCCAGCCATCAGAACCCTGAGATAAAATGCTAAGGATAGGCATATTAAAGGTTCATGGCCTTTTGCCCTTGGTTTATTTGGGGGTATATTCCTGTAAACCTGAACAAATCAAGATAATTACTGGAATCTCCAGATAGACTCTCTGCAGCTCCTATGTTGGGAGAATGTGCTAGCTTTTGAGATAAAACAGTGAATAAAGAAAAAAAATGATCCTTTCTGTCAAGGAACTTACATCTATTGGGGAGAATATGTAAGAAGTACAGTGGACAGTAAACAAAAAAAAAAATGCATAAACACCAAATAGTGATAAATGAAGGGAAGATAAACAAAAACACCCCACTTGCCAAGGAAGAGCAAGAACATACAAGATAGTGATAAATATGAAAGTGAAAATCAAACAGGCTTCAGTGTTGATTTGAAGCAATGGGTCAGAGAGTTCAGAATTATTTTCTGAAAGTGACAGAGGAAGTAGGAAGGGGGATAACATTAGTTCAATAATGAGAACATTCCAAAGGTCCAGATATCCTTAAGGAGGAGACTTTCAGTGAGAGACTATGTCTCTGGGTAATCTTTAAAAAGGGCACACTCTGATATACAGGCTAAGTCTCAGCAAATGGTTGAGCTTGCTTTGTCCCTATTAATCAAATGTTTAAGAGTAGGGATCATTTGCCCCATCCACACCAATAATGCTGAAGGGCTTTGTATCCAGGACACTACCTCCCAAATTAAAGACATGGCTGGAGTCTATGTTTATAGTCTCATCCACTCCTAACAGATATTTATGCCATCTATTTTTTTAACTGTAAAAAATTCCATATATTGTAATTATAAAAAAATTCAGTAAAAAAGTACAAACCATTTCTCATATGTGTGTGTTCCCTGTCCCAGTAGAGCAGACTAGTGGAATCACCCATAGACATTTGTGCAGTTAGCAGTGGTAATGTGCTAACAAGTTTGGCCATAACCAAGGTAAAAATTTGTTTGTTATGAGTCAGGCAATGTGATAAGTCCTTTAAATAAAATATACTGCATATTTATATGTCTGTCATTTAATTCTTAAACCAATCTGTGAAATATGTATTATTCTCCTAATATAACTGATACTCTGCCTAATTTCAAGGATATGCCAAGAGTTAATCAGTCTAGCTGTGAAATCTCATGCAGCATTCTCCCTGAGAACATCATCCTTCTAATGCTTTTCAAGTTTTTGATCCCCTGCAACCATTTTTTCTTTGCACTTTTCAGTGTTTTCTATAGATCCTTCCATTCTTCCCTTTCTTTTTCTTTCCTTCCTTTCTTTTTTCTCAAGCAGATGTTATTTTGTAATCAAAAGTAAATGTGTTATTTAAATCACAAACACAACAGCAACAAAACATGTATAACAAGTTTATCTTAATAGATTTTCTAATTGCCCAAGGTCCTTTCTGTTTGAAAGGTTTTTCTCAGCTCAGAGGTTGAACAGACAATATACAACATTCCTACTTATTGAATTTTTGAGTGCTGGAATTTCCCCATTCAGAAAAAAAAAAATAGTTCCCTCCTAATTATTCTATTTCCCTCACTGATTGAAAATCCAGTCTTTTTTATATGCTGGACCATTTGCAAATACATTGTTTACCCTGAAAAAAATTAAATATATAAGACCTTCCATATATATGCATATTGTTCTGATATGTTCCTTATTTACATGTTTTATTTTTAGAAGGTCTTTCTGAAACGTTTGCTTTTTAAAAAAATAAATGTGTATGATATCTGGGGTTAAAGCAGCCTTAAATAATTAGTAACACAACCTTCCACCAAAGTGGAATTTCCTTTTGCTCAGACAGTTGGATTCCGGATCTCAGAGATCACTACAAATGAGTTATAGGTGAGAGATGGAAATCTTTCCCATGGTGTCTAAAAGTATTAGGGAAGTTATCAAGTTAAATAATTTATATACTGAGAATGACAAAGTCTTGGAAAATCCTATCTTTTCGTAAATATACTCATTCATCTCGCAAATATGAAATAATTTTTTATGTTCCAGACCCATGTTTGGAGCTGGTACCACAAAGAACAAGAATGAAGGGGTTAACTTTTTAATAGAGAGATGGACTTATAATAATCAAGCACAGATTAATGTAATCATATATTTTAATAATAGTAGAGAAGTGGATTTGTGGAGGAGGGTTGTTATGGTGGGATACAAAGGTACATGACTCATATAAATATGTATATGATAAAAAAGCACTTAGAAAGTTTTAAAAATAGATATTCCTTCAGCTTTTCTTCACCATCCTTAAAAACTTCATTATAGCTGTTTTCCCTTACAGCTTTTCCCTCCAGACACACAGATTTTCAGAAACATTGTCACAACTGTAATTTCACACAATCCCATGTTCTATATAGCCATCTTTTAGAATGACTTTGCAAGAGTTCATTGAGAAGCTTTGACATAAACAACTGAGCCATTTTGTACTATCGCTGCACATTTTTGGTTGCTTTTACTGTTATGTTAATACAAGCGATTCTTGCATGAGGAATTATGAATATTTTTCCACATTTTTAATTGTTTAGAACAATTTCCAAAAGTAGTATTACTGGTTAAAATGGAAAATGCATTTTGTGATTGTTGACTTAACCAATTTCCAGAAAGGTTGAATCCAATTTTAGTGCCATAACCAATTTTGAGTGAATGAGCATTCTAGGGCCTCCCCGGTGGCGCAGCGGTTGAGCGCTGGGTTGCAAAGCTGCCCGCAGCCTCTGCAGTGCCGGTTCGATCCCTGGCTGCTCCCTGGCCACCGGAGGAAGGTCCCGCATGGCACACAGACCTCTCCTGCCGCCCGCTGCTCCCCTCAGCAGTGTACTTCGGTCCTTCTGCCTGCTCTGCTTCCCACTCTGGCTCTGGTGAATTTTCTCACCCTCCTGCGCTTCTGACTGTACCCAGTGCTTGTATAAATAAATAAATCTTTTTTTT